TAAAAAAGCAAAAATTTCCCTAAACAAATTGTAATTAAAATTCATGTTTTTTACTAGCTTGTGCAAATTGAACACAATTTACAAGACTTCATTTATTTAGGAAAAACGCGTTTTCATATCTTTTCTAAATATTACTTACACTTTTTTAAAACATTTAACTTTAAAGCAAAATTTGTTTCCATCTAAAATTTTGGCTAAATGTTGTCTAGTTGGCAATTAAAACCTTTTGCTTCCTTTAACTACTACAACTTTATCTTCAAGTGATTCACATTATCAGTTGTTTCTGTCACGCTTATTATTTCAAATTTAAAAGTTATTTCACTTTAGAAATTATTCATTCCCTACTTTCAAAGACAAATTGGTTTATTTTTTCGTGCTCATGCGTACCTGGCACTTGTGTGCAGTAAATTCCATTAAAGTCTCAACGTCCATGAAGAAAACTACCACTTTGGAATGCCAAGTAGTACAACATGTTGTGGAAAGTGTCGAAAGTAAAAAGCTACTGCGCTTTGCGATAAAATTGCCTACTTTATGGAGAGCAGGACGCTTTGGTTTGATCTTGTCAGTTTCAAGTTGCTGTCGGAAAAATACAGAAAGACTTTAAAATGGGGTGTTGTTAGATTTTTAAAAATGCATAATAGGTATTTTTTTACAGATAATTTTCATAAATCTTTAAATTAATATTAATCTCTAGGCTTAATTGTAAAGCAGTCTATAATCTTGACTATGGAACTTTCTCTAGGCTTGACTTCAGATCAGTCTTGACTACAGAACAGTCTATAGTTTTGACTACAGGTCAGCCTATAGCCTTGACCATAGGTTAGTCTATAGTCTTGACAAAGATCAGTCAAAAGTCTTGACTTTATAACAGTCAATATTCCTCACTTTATATCAGTCTATTGTCTTTACTATAGATCAGTCTACAGTCTTGAATTGATCACTCTATGGTCTTGACTTGATCAGTCTATTGTCTTTACTATAGATTAGTCTATAGTCTTGACTATAGATCAGTCTATAGTCTTGATTTGATCAGTCTATTGTCTTTACTATAGATCAGTCTATTGTATTTACTATAGACTTGATCAGTCTATAGTCTTGACTTGATCAGTCTATTGTCTTTACTATAGATCAGTCTATTGTATTTACTATAGATCAGTCTATAGTCTTGACTATAGATCAGTCTATAGTCTTGACTATAGATCAGTCTATAGTCTTGACTATAGATCAGTCTATAGTCGTCACAGATCAGTCAAAAGTTTTAACTTTATATCAGTCAATACACCTGAATTTTATCAATCTATAGTCTTGACTATAGATCAGTCTATAGTCTTGACCATAGATTAGTCTATATTTTTGACCATATATCAGCCTATAGTCTTGACCATAGAACAGTCTATAGTCTTGACTATAGATCAGTCCTAAACTTAAACCATAGTCTTGACTATAGATCAGTCTATAGTCTTGACCATAGATCAGTCTATAGTCTTGACCGTAGATCAGTCTATAGTCTTGACATAGATCAGTTAAAAGCCTTGACTTTATATCAGTCAATATTCCTGACTTTATATCAGTCTATAGTCTTGCCTTCATCAGTCTATAGTCTTGCCTTCATCAGTCTATAGTCTTGACTATAGAGTCTATATTCTTGATTATAGATCAGTTTATAGTCTTGATTATAGTCTTGCCTTCATCAGTCTATTGTCTTTACTATAGATCAGTCTATAGTCTTGAACATAGATCAGTCTATAGTCTTGACTATAGATCAGTGTATAGTCTTGATTATAAATCAGTCTATAGTCTTGACTATAGATCAGTATATAGTCTTGATTATAAATCAGTCTATAGTCTTGACTATAGATCAGTCAAAACTCTTGACTTTATATCAGTCTATAGACTTGACTAAAGTTTAGTATATAGACTAGATTTTGACTACAGATAAGTCTATAGATTTGATTATAGATCACTCTATAGTATAGACTATAGATCTGTTTATAGACTTGACTATTGATCAGTCTATAGACTTGACATAGATTAGCCAATATTCTTGACTATATCGGTCTATTGTCTGAACAGTAGATGAGTCGATAGTCTTCACTTTGAACAAACTATAGACTTGACAGACCAATCTATATGCAAATAGTTTTCGTTTTATAAAAAATGTTAGAATTTCGTTTTATCCTTTTATGGAACATTTTTGAAAATTTGTTCTTTTATAGAACTTTTTTTGCATAGAAAAATTTGAAAAAAATATGTTATTTAAGAAAATTTTTGAAAATATAATTTTCTCTTTTGTAGAAAATTATATTTCTTTTTTGCGAGAAATTCTCAAAATCTCTCAAATCGTTGCAAAGTTTTTGAAATTTTATAAAAAAAAATCTATTTTATTTTGTTATAATTTAAATTGCTCTAGCATTTATTCTCTCCATATCTTTGCTTCGCTTATACATGTCCTGCGTACCTTATATGGTACATAACAGAGTTGTACGAAATCGATATACAT